AAAAAACCCGAAAGCCTAGTTTTTAGACTGTTTTGCTACTAGGCAGAGCCAACATAACCTTTAGTGGATTAGGAGAAAATCTCTCTAGAAACAGAATCAAACCTTCAACTCTTCTTCTGAACAAGAACATGCTTTAGTTTCTGCATATTAAAAAAAAGCTCTGTGACTGTCTGAGAACACATTAGCAGCACAAAAGGTTAAAAGTGTGCACATCAATTAATTAAATTACTGTACAGTATGGCTAGTAGCAATATACGCCTGTAGTTCTTTGACCCTTTTCTGTCCTCACCACTTATCAATATAACCCTAAGGCTTGTAGAAATGTTTGACTCTTGTAGCTGCATTTTCAGATTTCCGTGTGAGATGAAAATATCATGGTCTTGTCCTCCATCCAGTATTGTTTTACCTTTTAATCTCACACAGAACCTCCTAATGCAGTGGATTTCAATTATTTTCATTTGTGGACCCCTAAAAAATTTCAAGTGGAGGTATGGACTCCTTTGGAAATTTCAAATGGAGGTGTGGAATTGTAAGTGTGGGTATTCACGTACCTTTGATCATAGTCAGCTTTTGTGGACCCCTTAGACATAATCTGCAGACCATAGGTTGAAAACCACTGTCCAAGTGTTTGGTCTTTTGGTATAAATGCCAGTTGTCCTTTACTATAGTGATCTACAGTCCTTTTCATAGAAGCATTTCCTTACCATGTATGGCTATTTAGATTTCATTTACAAATAAATAATAAAATATTCTGAGACATATGGCTTTATACTTAAGATGTCATGCCCTCCTAAGCTGCCTGTGCATAGCAATGGCTAAAGATCGATTAGAGTGCTTGGAGGTTCTAAGAAATTAGTCTGCTGAAGGTTTGATGGGTACAAGTCTAGGGTGTGTAATGAGGTTATGTCTGTACTGTGCTTTCCTTCTCATGGTTTTGAGACTAAATACTGCTCTCTGTTTATGCGGCCAAAAAATATTGTTCTTTTTGGTCAATTCCAAGTGTTTCATATGCTTTTTTTCCCCAAATACCTCACTTAGGTAAATGCTGGATATATCAAGCTACACAAGACTATATTTGGATGGTAGAAAGACAACAGTTGGCAAAAACTTGCTGTATTTTTATTATTCATTCTCCATCTGTGTTTTATCACCTGAACCAGACAGCTGCAGATGGGTAGAAAGTTCTCTGCATGTGGACTTTAGGAGAGTAAGACTGGACATTTTTTGAGCAAATAGCTGTGCTGCTATTATAGGTGGACCTTGAAAATGGCTAACTGGTCTTTCAGAACAGGGGTGTCAAAGATACTGCCTGCTGGCCAGATTGGGCCTGCAATATCATCCAGCCCCCAGTGCTGCCCATGAGTCCCATCAGGCAGCATGCAGGGTACTGTACAGTGGAGCAGCCACCACATGCAGTGTAGCCCTGAAGCAGTCGCATGCAGCTCCAGGGCTGTCAGGGCCATGTGTCACAGCTCTGTGGTGGGGGCTTATGAGTGGTGTGGCATAGCCCCATCACGGTCAGTGTAGGGCTGATCTGTGGGTCAAGTCCGGCCCACAGACCAGCCCCACATGACTCTTCTGGCCCATGGGACCAGTTGAGTTGGACACTCCTGTTTTAGAAGAGGTTTATTTCCTGGAGCACCATAACATAAAAATTGTTTTTAAACTGAACATTTTTTAATAAAATGGACACCATTTCATGGAGGAAATCTACTTTTTCTTTCTTTGATCAGTTTAATGATGAAATTCATATGGTAGATCTAGATCCTGCTTGTTGCTTGATCACAGGTGGTTGCACAGCAAATGTATCCTTCTCTCACACACATTCATATTTAGCTGACAAGATATATATAATACACTACCACTTTGAAAAACAGAGCTTACAAGCATTTTAGGGGCTATTTATGTGAGGGGATTTCAGTTTACATTGTGGGGCTTGGGTATGGTAATGCACACACAATACATGTGCTCCCTAAACAGGTTTCTGGTTTTCTGCGCACATGTAGTTGGTTTGGTAGAAGAGTTGAGTCTGCAGCGTTCTTTACAGATTCCATGGCAGGAGTGCCACTGTATTTGTATTAATGTATCTCCTGTTCTTGTGAGTAAATGGCTGGCACTGTTTTTGTTGGTCTGCCAGCCAAACGATGAAATGGTAATTGAGTCTGTTTTAAAGTGGAATGTTTGAGACAGTGCTTTAATTGTACTCAAGCCAATTCCATACTCCAGTATTAAGTTATTTTGTCCTATAAGCACTTTGTGCTGAATCCATTTGTATTGTAGTTAATAAGTTTGCTTCAGTTGTCTTACTAAAAGGAGTATTTGAAGACTTTCCCCTGCTCTCTCTTTTTTTAAAGAAATTTTGAAGGGGCTCTGTATTTTACAGATGCTTTTGCCATTGTTCTTGTTAAGATGGCCCTGTCCCTTTCTTGTCCCTCTATCCATGCGTAGAAAACGTAGCATTTATTATGCCACCCAGTTTTTATGCATCTTCCAGATGATTTAACTGAACTGATGCTATGGAGGATATGCTGACTGGCACTTTTCCCATGCTTAATGTGTTAACAAAAGCCAATAGTGTCAGTTTTAACAGTTTTAGTTAAATTCCCATGATACTCTTAACAAACGTTGAAACCTCTGCCATGTCTTACCCTGACAGATTCCCTGCCGTCATTGCACACTTAAAATAAATGTCATCCCCAATCAAAAAGTTCACATTTTTTGACAATATAATTTGTTACTTTGTTCCTGTGTTATCTCTTTCTTTGGCACAATAATCTGAGATGGATATGTTACTTTTCTTAAAGTGTTTTGTGCCATCTTACATAGTTAGAAGAGGAGGCCCAAAAGTAATACTAGGAAATAGTCATATATTTTGATTGTGCACAAAATAGTCTTCCTAATGGCCACCTTTTGAATATGAGTTCTACTTCATGTTCTTAATTGACAGTAACCATACACTTTTGAAAACATACATGGCTGCAGATACCTATGTGTGTAAAATATGGGGAATGCTTTCATATATTAATAATGAGTTGAATCACCATTGAATGGTTCTTTTCCAGCAAATGCTGTCCCCATGTGTAGTGTACACTTTTATCTTATGTAGGGGGCTTGATTTCATGTAGGTTTCACCACATTTCTCTTATTAAAATATGTCAACATGTAAAAGAAAAGGAATTCCCTAAAACAGCATCGTAGATGGGGTACTATTTTACTATAGTTCATGACTTTTGATTGGTTGGAATGTTCTACCTGTGAGATCTCACTTTTAAACTGGGAGAAGCCTTTTGTGAGCAGCTGCATCTCTTTGATCTAACCTATTTGAGCCATTATGTAGAGATAGCAGACAGACTTTTTTTTTTAATTACTGTATTATAGGTACAATTGGCACCTCTCTCTCTTTATCTCTCTCCCTCCCTCTCCGTGTTTCTCTCTCTCTCTCTCTGTCTCGCACAGAGAATAAGAGAGGTGGCTTTCACAGCAGCTGGTTAATTTCCATGGCTTCACACTACTGTTTAATGATCCGTTTCTCCTGTGCCACCTCTCTCATCTACTGAAAGATAGGTACAAATTGTACCTATAAAAATTATAATACAACTCTGGGTTATCTTTGTTTTTCAAATTGTGATAATCTGAATTGAGGCTTAATATTATTTTCTTTCACAGTTCTTTAGAAATACCCAGGGATAAGTCGCTGCCTCCTACGCAGCACATTTTGGTATAGAAATTTTACTTTTTGGACATTTGGCTGTCTTTAATATGCTTGATTGTTTTTGAAGGTGGAAGAGAAAGTCCATAGAGATATCATCCAAACAACCGTATGGCCAGTGAACCAGCCTGCAAGCCACAGCATAATGGTTGGATATGCTGGCAGGCTTGGGTATCAGAATGCATCTGTCTCTGGGCATCATCAAAGACCTTGTAGCAGTAGGCTCTGAGGGAGAGAGGGTGGCATATAAAAATGATAGATAAAAGGAAACTGAAGGAATAAAAGCAAGGGAAAATTGTCAGCCATACCAAGTGAACTATCTCGTTTCTGGGAGTGATACCTTCAGATCAGACTTGGAAAGAGATCTCCACTACTGCAACCCATTCTTGTATCCATTGTGTGGATAAACTTCAGTCCTGGGAATGTCAGCCCATTGTCTTTCAAGAGGGCTGTAAAACGTATCTAAAATATCTAGAAGTATGAACCTGTTAAACCGTCCATATAGAATATCTGGTTTCATTTTTTTTTCCTCCAGTCCCCTACTAGATGATGTCAAATCCAGGTTCAATAGTGTGACTGAGTTAATTTGTTGTTGTACAAAGCAAGGTAAATGTTGAGATCATGCTAACAGAATATCCAGAAACACAAAAAAAACCCAACAACAAAAGGAAAAACAAAGGAAGAAAACAGAACAGTATTAATGCAGTTGAAGGAAGGTTGCATATTTGAAACCGCAGATTTTTAATACAATGGGAAACCTTCTCTTGAGTATTATGACAGAGTTTAAAGGGACCTCCCCAATGACTGATATTCAGTAGGTTTTCCTGTGTTTTCAACATTTCGTTTTTTTTTTTTTTAAATGAAAGCCATTCACGCTCCTGATTAGTAAGCATGGAGCAACCTTACTTTAAAGCTGTGCTGGGGAGCTAGCGAATTTGCGTAATTTAGAGAAATGTGTTGGATACAGGGGGTTTAGAAGTCAAGGTACATTGTCTTCCCATTAGAAATTTACCAGAAAATCTTTATACTGAATAATAGAAACAAAATACTCTATAAAAAGACTTAAATGAATAGTAAGAAAATTCACTCAAGAACATTTTGGTGAATTACAAATTAAATTTTGATATCGTGGTCTCATTCACACCTCCCTACTGTTTTTGCAAACAAAGTTTTGCTAATAGAAGAGCAAATGGAAAGAAAGTTTCAGGCCAGTGATTAGAAGGGTTTAATGAAGAAATTAAACTTGTTTTAGTAATGTGGTGACCATCTGAAAATTTCTGTTGCTATTAAGGAGAAAAGATGAGAAGGAAGGTGAAAATGAGGGAGGATGTGGAAGAGGAGATGAAGGAGGAGACAGGGTCAGAAACAGGATCTTTCAACAATATGACACTCAGCCACAGAAGCCAACTTCATAGAAGTCTCATGCTACTCTTTCTTCAGTTCCTAGAGAAAATCTTGCAGGAGTTGTTGTGGTGTAAAGGTAACATATTATTCAGATCCGAGATGAGATTTTTAGCTTCCACTCCCACCCCGTGCTCTGCCCCTCCTGCCTTTGCCCCACGTGCTGCCCCTACTCCCCTGACCTGTCTCCCGCCATTGCCTCTGTCCACCCTAACTCCCAACCATCGCTTACACTCAGTTGATGCTCTGGCTCTGGCCCCTGCCTGGCACCCACTCAGCCAGGCATCAGTGGCTGTAGAAACAGCAGCTCCCCACCCTAGCTCTGGATCCACCACTGGGGCCAGAGCTGCTGCTGTTGCAACTACTGCTGCTTGGTTAGGTGGGGCCTGGAGCAGGGCTAGAACTGGGGCTGTGCTTGAGGGTAAGTGGTGCCAGAGGGGTCAGGTGGTGGTTGGGGGGAGCAAAGGCATAGGTCAAAGGGCAGGGGGCAGGCTGCTTGACTCCGCCACCACATGCCCATTTCCGCTGCTTGCCCCCCTGCTGCTGTGTTCCCCAATTAAATGATGGAGTGGGAACCAATTTAAGATGACCCTCCAATAATTAGATCCTTTACATGGAAAATTATGACAAATTTATAAATATCCCATGTATGGAATCTGATTATTGGGAGGTCGCCTTAAATTCAAAGTTATCTTGGATTCAGGTAAATACAGTAATATAATAGCAGCCATGACTCATCCCATCTCAGGAAGATGCCCTGCTCTGCATCCTCCTGTATTGAGCCAGGAACATTCAGAAAGCCCTTCCTCCCCACCCCTTGCAATTCCAGGCTTTGTCTTTCTTTACTGCTATGTTGCAATGAAGAAAAGTGGTTCCCTCCGCTTCTGCACTGTGGCCCATTACTACAGAAAGAAGGTACCACCAGACTGAAACATGAAAGATATGCTTTCAGTCAGTGCCAGAGTTAGGACTTGCTCTAGCATCGACATAGGCCCTAAAAATGCCTCCCTCGATGCTGCACAGTGTGTGCGCATGTGTACTTTTGACCAGTAAAGTCAGTAACATTGAACAATGCTTAATTAACACACTAGAGAGGCAGTAGTAATAATGAAACCCCTTGTGTAAATAGTTCATTGGCAAATGTTTTTTGCGTGGAACATTTGTTTAACAATTACAAATATTGAACAGATTCAAAGTCAAGTCATGAAAAATTAGTTTGCAGAAAAAAGCCAGAGACATTCATTGAATAAACTGCTTGTTATGAATGGTTTGATAGGCTCTACTTAAAACTAAAGTTATACCTACCCAGTGGTCATTTTGGGAGTGGCTTTAAAGAATGTTTAACGGATGAAGTTTATTATAAGGTCAGATTTCCATTAATACTCACTTTCATATTTCAGTGGCTCATTCATAGGAAATACAGCCTCAGAGAGTTGAACATCTTCCTTCTCATTAGCCAATTGAAATTATGGGTAATTAACACCTTGCAGGAAAAGCTAGGGACCTTCAGGATTTGCTAGTGAGTGGCCTGAGTTTTACCGTTAAATAACGTACCCACCTTTTCTTCCCCCTTCAACTCCTTTTGGTGTTCTGTTGTTTCATTAGTGACACCAGGAGCATAAAAGAGACAGGGACACTAGCCTTGGTTGCCAGTGGCAGGAGGGAGGGCAGTAAAAAGCAGCCACTGTGCTACTACTCTGGCCATCCCACCACTGCCAGCTGCAGCTGCTGCTCCATTCACCACTGCTGCCTAGGGCTCTGCTCAGTTATGCCTCTGAGTGGCACCTCTACTGTATCAATTTGTCCTTTCTCATTGGAACAGTATCATCATTGGATATATACATGATGGATTGGATAATATAAGCAAAGATTGAATGTTAGAAGTACAGGAATGGTCGTACAGATTGTTTATCAACAGTACATTTCAGGTCACATTTTACAATGTTTTAAGCTAAGGTAATTTTCTACATATGTGACACAAGCAAATTAACACAGATATCTAGGTGTGGTCCTGATCGCTGCATTAAATTTTGTGTTCAGGCTGAGATTATCATTGTGCTATCTGCAAGGGAAAAGTATCTTAATCCCCACAGCAGATTTTTTTTTTCAAATACCTAAGTGCTGTTCCTGTTTTCGATGAATACCCTGTCTTCTTGTTTTTCAAGCAGCAGGAAAGAAAAAAAATGTACTGTAATTTGCGCTGACTTTTGGCTGAGTAACTCAAATGCATTGTATCCTATGTAATCTTTTAAAATCTTTCACATTTTTAACAAGAATTTACAGCTGTTTATTCACTATATAGAAATATGATATTAACAAAGCTGACATATATATTAAAAAGCATCCAAAGAATAAAAGGATATCTTTGTGACATAAATCAAAAATAACCTTGTGAGTGGTCTTTCAAAGACTAAGTTATCTTTTGCTTTAGTAACTCAGCTGCTCTGCTAAGAAACAGGAAATG